TTCTCTTCAAATTTTCTCTCCATATATGGAGAGATTTGGGAAGGAAAACAAGATTTTCATAACTACCCCTACCATCTCTTGCTTTCCATATTTATTTCTTTTATTATATTTAAAAATTTATTCATTTTTTATTTTTTTAAAAATCTCAAAATAATTTTTTATTAAATAATTTGGCTTTAAAATATAATAATCTGAAAATAATATCAATCAAATAACTTGATTTTAATCATTTGATGATGCCAATGTTAGTATAATCTTTCTATCACAATATTTAATTTAATTTAATTTAAATATGAATATATTTAATAAGGACATTTTAGTCATTTGATATTTTTAATTTCTTTCCTTTCTATTTTCTCTCATCTATCCAAGCAAGAGGGTGATAACATTTTCCCTCTAGTTTTTCTTTCTCCCTATTTTCTTTCTCCCATTTTCTTCCTCCTAACTTTTCTTCCCATACAAGCAGAGCATAAAGGTAGTGCTAGCAATTTGTTTCCCTCGGGTTGGGTCAAGGAATATCCAATGCAATTTTATCACGGACCGACACATTTTATATTGCTATGGCCCCTTGTACCAACACACACACACACACCCACCCACACACACACACACCTGCTATGGCCACTGTAAATTTTGTTTATTGTTTTACTTTTTAAAAATAATTTAGCTATAAAAAATATTTTTCCAGTGAAAGTAATATTTTTTTGCAAAAAGATAGAGTAAGTGGAGGGAAAATTTTCTCCTTTCTATTGTATTAAATAAAATGAGAGGAGCAGCAGAACTCCTCCGTTTTAAATCCCTTTCAATCAAAAGCGAGAGGATTTTTCTACCATAAATTACAAATTGGTGATAATTATGGAGATTAAAAATTCAACTTTCCTCACTAGTTATTTTATTATGAAGGTGTGAAATATATGGGTTCTTCCTACAATAATGGCTCGTTGGTGAAAGAATTTTTGCTAAAGGGAAGAAACAACTCAGCTTCTGGTCTTAGGGACCAAAAATATTGTTCCATATATCAAAAATCTTTAGGCAGAATCCAACGAAGTCAAATTTTAGGGACTAAAACTATTAATTTCAAATTTCAAGAACCAAATGAGGTCAAATTTCAGGAGACGTAAATCATTGGTTTCAAATTTTAAAGATAATAAATAAAATGAGATCAAATTTTATAGACTAAAGATGATATTAACTTTTTTTTTAAATTTAAGTATTTGACTAACTGGATATTCACTCTTGGGTGGGTCCTTGTATCATCATCCATGGATCCGGGCCTGTATGTGCGCTACTCCTAGATTTGGGCTTCCATTATCTTCATAGTCAGCTAGGCCGGCCCACTTAAATGATTGGATAGAATGTGAAGACCTTTTTTTCTTTTTTTTGCCCTTTTCAATAGAAAAAGAAAAGCATTGTACCCCCAAAAAAAGAGAAAGCATGAGGAGATCGGTTGGCCTTGGTTCTAACGGAAGGAGTTTTATCCGTTTAATTGTACAGATACAAAATTTCATTGTATAGAACTGCTTCATGCAAATAGTCCACCTACAGTTCAATTTAGTGTCAATTAGAATATATGTCTACATTTATTATTCAATAGTGTCTCAAACAGTATTGTTTCTAATAAGAGGATATTTATATCTAACAAAAAAATAGTTTAATTATATACTATCCAAACGAATTAAACTATTAAGTTATTCAACTAATCACAATGTATATAATCTATCATCAAACCTAGGTAAACTATGTATACAGGAACTAATCAAGACTAACTTTTTTTATCACAAGTCCATAAACATAAATTGTGCCAAAAGTTTCCAATAACATTAATATCCTGATTTGCATATGGTTCTAAGTTTTCAAATATTTGCAAATTTGAATCAAATGAATACAATGTAATTACCTACCTCAAAAAGCAACAATTAAACTCAAAATATTCAAACAAGCATGAGAAAACTAATTAATATCGTTGGGATAAAATATCTAATTACCTAATCTAATTTCTCAATACAACTAGTTTGAATAATTTTATACATGTAGCAGAGAAAACACAATAGTGAAAGTAAACAAAAACGTATTTAAAGTATAATGATTTGATAGACATAGCTATTTCAGTTTCATGCCTCTTTTATGCATTTCATCCATTATAAAAGTAGGTTGAAACCCTCCTATCATCAATTAAACATCATTCATCCAAAAAAAGGATGTGCAAGTTGTTAATATTGCTTTATAATTTCCATTAATTAAATTTTACTTTTTTTTGATGTTACATTAATTAAATTTTACGAGAGTGAAAATTTTACAATAATACGAAAAGAATATAAATACTTGTTTCATTCAAAGTTTTGATTAGTGTGCATTTTTTAAAGATTCAATTCACTCTTCATGTAAAACTAAATCATGAGAATCAAAAAATTAAATTAAAAATACTACTTTCGATCCTTAATACTACCTTGGGTCCTTAATATAAAAGTTTATTTGACTTTTTTTTGTCCTAAATATATGACCCTAATTCATTTTGTCTGTCATATTTATTTATTTTTTCCTAAGGTAGTTCTTGCAATAATAGTAGTTCTAATCAATACACTTGATTAATAAGAATATTTTAAGAAAGACAATATCTATTTATTACAAATAACTAGCTTAACTAGTTTCCTTAATTTATTCAAATTAGTCAACTAGCTCTTATATTAAGGATCGAAGTTAGTATAAGATTCGATTGACTGATTTGGAAAGATTAAGAAAACTAAAAATTACTTTAAAATATTTATATTTATCATTTTTTTAAAACTAATTTGCTTAACTTATAGGCTGATATATAATCTAATAATATATATAAGTATTTCAGAAAGATCATGTAAGATATAATATAATGTAGTAATTTTTTTTAGCTTTATTAATCTATTCAAATTAGTCAACTGAGTTTTATATTAAGGACCGAAAGTAATATATAGTAACACAAATGAATGCTCCCCATGTATGCCAAATAACAACTTATATATAAATATAAAATATATATATATATTTATATATATAAGAGCACCATACCAACTCCAACTGATCATTATTCTTTAATCTTTATCAATCATTTTATATGGCTCTAATAGTTAAGAGGCTAATAGTTCGACTGATTATTCTGATAGTTATTAAATTCATATAAACGTGTAAATTCCTTTCTTCTATACCCAGATATTGTAGCTTTTATTTGAAAATTAACATGACTAATTTGGCTAAGTTAATGTAATGTAAAACTCAATTGACCTAATCCATTTTTGGCGATAAACTATGATCTGTCAATTAAGATAAGTGCCCCCTTCCTGTTAAAAAAAATTTTTAGAATTCTTAATTTGGAGCAATCATGCTAGCGTGTCTTGTCTGGGTTCATTTCAGTATTCCTACTCCAAATTAAGAAAATTTGAGCTTCTCTTGATTGTTATTAATGTTTTACAATTTGAGGCTTCATTAATAGCTTTTCCTGTAACCTTATCCTAGTGAAAGAACAAATCAATGAGATTTTGCATTTAGTGATTAAAATAGTGAAAAGTCCGATGCTTTTGTTTTGTTCGTTAGAGTCTCCATGGCAAGTTGCTTTTCAAGGCCAAATGTTTGAATCGGGAAAAAGAAGAAGCTAATTTTAAGATTCTGAAATCCCTATTAGGGGACAGAGAAGAATCTAGATTTCATTCCTTCAACAGTGTTACCAACTTTTGGTCCAAAAAAGAAAAAAACAGTGTTACCAACTTCACAAAGGGAGAAAATGCTGCAAACCAAAAAAATAAGAGAAAAAAATCCTTTATATTCCAGACTGCTCTTTTTTCTTTGTATGTGCCATCCCTCCTTTATCTTTATATTATTAGTTTATTATTGTGTTTTACATTATTAAGCAACATTTTTCTTTTTCATCCTCCAGCATCAGTAATTTGAAGGAAGAACTTTTTTTCCCCCAATAAAATAAGACAAATATATTTTTTAAAAAAAATCAATTATGCAATACGAATGTTTTATCTACCAACTCTCCCTCACTATATTAAGAATGTTTCAGGGACAAGTTACAAATCTAAAACCTAATAAATAATGCAACTTATTATGAACCTTATATTTCATAAGACTATAGTATGTGTGATAAACGAGATAAATATTAACTTAGAGAGTAGTCTATGACTTACTGAAAAGGAAATTTTGAAGAATTGAAAAAATTAGACAGATAATTGTGAATAAAAGAGAAAAAAGACGATCGAAGACAGAGGTGCGAGGCCATAGGAAATTAAAGGCCGGATTTATTGTGTGTGTAGATTAATTAGATGAACAATCCTCATAGAGATTTTCAAAAATATCTGTATTATTTATGATTTGCATGAATTTCAAATTTTACTTTGTTGATCGATATTGGTATTAGTATTTATATATCTTGCATAAAAAAGTGTTTATATATCCCCTCCGGTCCATTTTGTAATAGCCTGATAACTAAATTATGCAGTTTAAAAAAATAGTTAAAATTATTTAAAAGTAATAAATAGCTAAGAAATGAAATTTTTTTTCCAAGCATAACCTTATTTATAAGGAGCAAGTAAGAGGAAAAAAATATGAAAGATATAAAATTAACTATGGGCAAAAATGATAAAAACATGTTAAATATTCAGATAGCCACAAGTATGATCTTATAAAAAGGATTAAGAAAAATTACAGATTCTTATAAAAGAGATAGAAAGGAGCATCCAATATGGGGATCACACAGAAAATAGGGTCAACAGATTTGTTATGGAAAACCACCGGTCGTCACGATAAGGACTTTTGTTTGAAATGACATTTCTTGGACGCAATTTGATGAAAAAGAAATCATTAATTGTTGAATCATATGTAATTGTGTTGATCCATATCTGATTGTTTGTGATCTAGAGATCTCCACTAGCAATATTACTACATTCAATTAATTTATTAATTATAGGGAAAATTAGTGAAAACTTCCTTTTTTAAAAAATTTTATTAATAAGAAGTACCTAAAATTTGCAAAATATATAAAATAATATTTCAAATTACTGATACTTTATGTATGTTAAAATTAACAAATTCAGACTTTTCTAACCAATAAAATTTTTAAATATGGAGATTTCACCTATTTATTTTATTATATGGGTAGATTTTGGATGGCTCCACACGGTGGCAATAATAATAAATAATTAAAAAAATAATTAAAAGCAGAGAGAGCACACTGGTTCCGAAAACCCTCGATATTGATCCATCGGCTGAATCAGGTTTTGGTGGACCCCATCATAGAGGAATCCCGTGACTCGTTTCACTATTATTAATTATATTAATTAATTAGTGATAATCACAAATGATTGTGATCACATTATAGAAAATTATCTGAGCCCAGGATTTTATTTGCTACAGTAAATATAAGTTCTTGATCGATGGCAAGTACCAATGCACGTGGAACTCTTGGGTCTGTGTAATTTCACTGACTCACTTGGAATTGCTTGTTTCAGTAATTTTGCGTGAAAGTACATTTTCATTCATGTCTATTCATTTTAATTCAATCTCTGAGAGAGATTTGCTTTTGTCGTTAATTACCCGAATATCAATCTTCTCTTAATTACACAACACAACACATATTAAGATGATGCGAATGAATTAACAATATATATATATTAACCATCAGCAAACACAGCACAAAAGCAATTAAGATGATATTGGAGAGGGAAATAAACAATAGATTAGTTCCCAGCAAATAGACTAAAGGATTAACTATATGGAAGAGAGTTTTTGTTTTCTTCGAATCGTCTTGTTGGGAACTATTCCCAGCTCCAATCTTAAATACTAGCTAATACAAGAACTAGTAGATGAATCTGTTTTAATCCTAAATACTACCTCCGGTCCTTAATATAAGACCCCGTTTGACTTTTAGTTTGGTCCTAATTATAAGACCCCAATCCATTTTGTCTATCATATTTATGCATTTTTTCCCAAGATAATCTTTCTAATAATGATAGTTCTAACCAATACACTTAAGTAGCAAGGATATTTTAGGAATGACAATACTTATTTGTTACAAATAACTAACTTAACTTACTTCCTTAATCTCCTCAAATTAGTCAACTGGGTCTTATAATTAGGACCGGAGGTAGTATAACACTACTTCTGATCATAGATATAAAATTTAGTTTGGGTGCATAATTTGCATTACAAACTATAACTTATATTTGAGACCGAAGGTAGTATATCAATTTATTGTCTCTCCTAAGCAGAATATTTAGGACCGAAGGTAGTATATGTTATATCTAGGATAGAAAGTAGTATATGTTATAATTTTTCCTCAAACTCTCTCCCTTTTGATAACACATATTATGTGATTAATAGGTAGTTTTCAATACAAATGAATAAAAAGAATACTTTAGAGAAACTAACAAATTTTTTCTACAAATAACTTAACTAATTTTCTTAATTTTTAAAAACTAATTATCTAACTCTTTCATTTAGAATTGGAAGAAGTATGCATCCAACCAAAGGATTCAATAATATTACCCTACCTCATTTCATCTTCTTTAGCAGCAAATTCAGACCCATGAGCTTTAATAATGATTCGATCATACCAACCACCAAACCTATGGTTGGATAGGAAGAAAATTACATACGAAAGAATGCTAGAACGGAGAACTCCCTAAAATAATAAAATTTTTGCTATTTTTAGAAGTCTTCCTTCCTAGTAGTCCCTATCTCCAATCTTGCTCTCATTTTTTTCCTCCGTCAAAACATACCCCAAAAATCATTTCCAACTAAAGTTGAATAATCATTTACAAAAAATTTATGAACACCGCACACGTACTCACAAATTCACACGAGAGAAATCATTATTTTCGTAGATGCTATGGTGGAGGGGCCAAATGTCAAACTAACACTAAATTGTGTCCTGTTCCAAAGGAGGCTTCCGTGTCCTGTCACTATAAGTGCTTTCTTTTCCCTTTGACAAATAAAGTATAGCACCGCCCCTTGGTTGTAGAAAGTTAAAGAGACACCATCAACAAATTGTTCATATTTTCCAAAGGCACACAAGTTTGAATAATTTCATTATCAATAATATGTATAAATAATTTGTAATAGCTAGACAGAAATTTAGATCGAATTTAATAATTTGAGTTGTATTGACTCTTAAGCAAGAAACTAGGGACACGCAGTACACAAACCCACATGCAAAAGTTTTTTTTTTTTTTTGGGGGCGGGGAACCAGAAGTGTGTAATAATTCCATTTAATTTAAGTTTTCCAGTGGAATCGAATATGGATTGCTATCGGCAATTGTAAAATTTGAATGGATCCACAGATCGATGTGGCAATATGTCAGTCGCTCTCTCATAAACATTCAAAATTCTGCCAAATTATGAGCTTCCCTGTGCCAGCTAAAAGTTCCCAAGTTCACACATGGTTCCTTTATTAATTTGCTCATCTTGATGCCCTAATTTTCTGGCTCAAGTTTTTTTAATATTATTCTCCACGTCAGATCCTCACTATATAAACCCTACCATTGCTTCGAATAACTCCATCCCCACAAACAGTCTTCTTCTTATAGCACTTATTGCGACTAAACTCTTTAGTGCTTAGCTTCTTCTTCTTCAATGGCTTCTAAAACTTCCTCTTTTGCTCTTTTCCTTGTTCTCAACCTCCTCTTCTTTTCACTTGTCACGGCATGTGGCTCATGCGGGGGCTACCCTAACCCGAAGCCGAACCCAAGGCCCCGGCCAAACCCGAACCCCAAACCTAGCCCGTCCGGAAGTGGTACATGCCCTCGTGATGCCCTAAAACTAGGGGTATGTGCTAATGTTCTGAACGGTTTGCTTAACGTGACCCTTGGACAACCACCAGTGACCCCTTGTTGCTCTTTGCTTAATGGACTTGTTGACCTTGAAGCTGCCGTATGCCTTTGCACTGCCCTCAAAGCTAACATTTTGGGCATTAACCTCAACCTTCCTATCTCTCTCAGCTTGCTTCTCAATGTCTGCTCTCGCAAAGTTCCTCGTGGCTTCCAGTGTGCCTGATAAGTATACACAAAATTAGCTTCTTCTTTTTCTTTCTTCGATGATGATGTGGCCTTTCTCAATCGGTTTTTCGACTTTACATTTTCTAGTCTAAACCATATGAAGATGATGACGACGACTTTATGTATCTTGGATTATTGTTGTTGTTGTTATAAACACCTCGTTTAATTTGTGGTTTCTCTGTCATTTGTGTGCATGGGACTATGGTGAATAATCTCCCCATATTTACTACTCGGGTAAATTTGTAAGGGGGGAAGAAAAGAGACATGAAAGTTTATAGTTGTGATGATCACAGATTCTTCTCTTATAATTTGTTCTTCATTTTTAATTTGCAGCGCAACAATATTATATCTGTTCAAGTGTTTTATTTTATTCAGTATTCACCTGGGCAGATTGTGCTCTTCTCCTGCCTTCCAGCCCAGCATGAATAAAATCAACAAAGGAACTATTTATTTTCTCCTTAAAAAAAAATTACAATGAGGTCCGAAGAAAGAAAAATAATTACAAAACAAATATCAAAAGTTGTTATTTCTTACTTTAAAACTTATCATTAGAGACTGCTTAGATTGTTATTGGGACTTTTTACTAATTATTTTTCTTTTTTGAAACCTTATTGTAATTCTCCAAAAACCAAAACAAAAAAGCACAAAAATTAAGAACCAGCTCGTAGCAAGCTGGCCCTCGGTAAAATTTTGTCACGACATTCAGTATGATTAATATTACAAAAAAAAAAAAAAACCAAAGCCTGTTACGACCTGTAACAATAAGGGTCATATGCATGTACATACACATACATAGATACATACATACATATGTAATAGCAACTTTTCCCTTATTAATCGATCTTAGCCACCAGATCACTCATACTTGCGTACTATATTTGTGCTCTTAAATAATGATTCGATTGGTTACATACAATAATAATTTGATAAGGAAAAAGAATCAAATTGAGAAAGGATACATAGTTTTCGCACACACAAACATATGGTCTTCAACTTAGTTTTCTTCCTCTCATAAAGTGTATGATTAGGGCATACCTGCAATTAGGTTGTTATTAGGATTTTTAAGTAATTAGTTTCCTTCCTTGAAACCTCATTGTAATTCTCCAAAAACCAAGAAAGAAAGCACAAAAATCAAGAACCAGCTAGTAGCAAGCTAGCCCTCGGTAAAATTTTGTCAGGACATTCAGTATGTTTAATATTGCAACAAAAAAAAAAAAGCCCAGAGCCTGTTACGACCTGTAACAATAAGGGTCATGTACATAGATACGTACATACATATGTAATAGCATCTTTTCCCCTATTAATCGATCTTAGCCAACAGATCACTCATACTTGCGTACTATATTTGTTTTCTTAACAAATGATTCGATTGGTTAGATACAATAGTAATTCGATAAGGAAAAATAATCAAATTGAGAAAGGATACATAGTTTACACACACACACACGCATACACACACACACACACGGTCTTCAACTTGGTTTTCTTCCTTTCATAAAGTGTATGATTAGAGCATGCCTGTAACAATCATGACGTAGCATGTCGTTTTGTTTTTGGAACATTACATATATAAGACACTAGGAATCGATCCTACTTTTTATTTGTGTTGTCTGAAGAGGGAATATATTGATTAATATATACATATACATATATATATTGATTGAAGTTTGTTTGTGGGAACCTTTGGTTCTTTTGGGCAATATTACTGTTGATCTATCCCGTGAGCTGGGACGAACAAACATGCTTTTGTCACGATTGAAAAGGATAGAATAAAAGAATGTGTTGTGCACTTTCATGTGAAAATCTTTACAAAAGATTAAGATTTTCCATGTTCTCTGAATATCACATCTTTCATAAGAAATTAATATATTTACACTATTGGTATCATATCAAGTTTGAAAACTTTTGCACTTTGTCTAAATTCATGAACGATATCTAATATAGTGATGTGTTTTTCTGGTTCACTAGTGCCAAACACAAATTCAACTACGTGATTATTTCACATCATTTATTTGAAGAACACAAGTGGTAATATATATGACATATTTTCACCTTTGTTTTAAATAAATTCATTTTCGGGGCCAATTGCCTACTAGCTGTCACCGTAATAGCTATTTTCCGCTACTCCTATTTCTACCACATCTCATTTGTAGTAGCGGAAATGCATTTTTAACTTACACCAAACATAATACTTAGTAGTAGTGGTTAATACAACAATTATCTAATATCCAATACTGTATTAAATCATATTCATATCTTAACAAAATCTTTTCATTTGCAATATTTGAACTCTTAATTAACCTTATTTTAAAGGACTCAAGTTCTTTTCACTCAATCTACTCATCATTCACACATAATAACAACATTTTAAGGTTGCCTAAAAATTATAAAGCTACAATAGTACCTATATATACACACACAACATAGAATATTATCATTTACCTGGTTGTGCTAAGGTGGGGTGGTCTTAGTAACTAACCAATGAGCTGTACATAAGGGTGGGGGCTATTAAAAGTCTCCTCACAATCATTTATAAATAGCTTCTATTAGAAATTTACCTCTTCTCATGTATCTGGAAAATGATAATATAAACAATAACCATTATAATACAAGCTTGAATCTTTGGTAATATATTTGATGCATGTATATTTATAAGAGAAGATCTTTGATTTGAAAGAAATAATGAAATAACTAGTAAATTAAACCGACAATTTGTGACGTGCTTGAAGACTTTGTCACTTCTTAGGTTCATTGATCTCAAAATATTCTCATAGCTATAAGAGTTAGGGTTTTGTTTAGCCGATTCAGCATGTACGAAGTCACAACGTGCCGGTGAATTTTTTCCTTTTTAAATAAAACTGAACACTTCAATATTCACAATGAAACATGAACAAGATAAAGCTCAAACAAAATGAGAGAAAAGAACCTAAAATTATCTTACTTCATTTGTCACCTATTGAATGAAAAGTGGAGAATATGATGATCAAAAGTAAAAAAAAAATTAGAAATTAAATGTCCCTTCCTGGTTATATATATATATATATATATATATATATATATAGTTAGCACTTAGCAGGATTATTACATTTTCTAAAAACAAAATCGATAAAAAAAAAAACAGAGAATCTAATTTCTATGGGAAATATTTATATAGTATTGTCAATGATATCTTGATAAGGGTGGTTATTAGTTTGATTTTCTTAAGAAGGTTGATCCTTTCAGCACAATTATCGCTATGTGCCTCCATTTTCCTAATCCCCAGATTCCAACACAGTGACCATTGGCAATTTCAATTAAGCACCTCAAAGTATTTCTCTTTTGAGATTTGTGGGGGGCAAAAAAAACAAAGAAAGAGAAATGACCCACACGATCTCACTCGTTCACTTGCGTAAAACCTTTTTAAAAACACTTCTATTCAAAAAAATATATTCTTCTAAATAAATGTAGGTATAGAACGTATTATGTGTTTTTAAACTTTTGTTGACTACTTATTTCCTCTGTTTTTAAATTCTTAATAAGAAAAATTATACTCCCCTTTCTTATTAAATGTAATGCTTGTTTTATAGTATAAATTACCCCACAAAATGAGTTTTATATTTAGAATTGGAGTATTAAAAAAACCACTTTTAAAATCATACTCCATGATATATACAGCTTTGATTCTCCGAATTCGATCATTTTGACTAAAGAAAAAATTAGATGGTCCTTGTTTACAAAAACTTATGCCAACCCGTGAACCTTATTTTGTCACATCTGATGTCACCTTCTCATAAGACGATCACAAACAAACACAAGCGTAACAGTTAAGTTGCCTGTGTGTCATCAATCTGTCGGTCCATCAAACATTAATTAATTATAATCAATCTGCGCGTGATAATGCTTGATTTTGCTTTACAAGCATCGAGAATCTTTTCAAACCAGAAATTAAAATACTCAATAAATAGACATATTGATTTATTAATTCCCTTATTATGTTAATTACATGCATGTGTCTAGATGGTTCTCTAAGGTAATATATAGCTATTTATTTTTATAGTTTTGTTGCTATTTTCAAACTTTTATTACGATTTGTGATCATGAAATTTTTATTAAACATACTCATTAAGAAATTAAAACTAAAAATACATGCACTTGATCTCACTGATTTTCACCGAATTAACCCATTACTCACTGAATCCAAATCCTATTTCATCATATATTAATATAACCCCACAAATTCTTCTACAGAAACACTAGATCAAGAGATTTTATTTTTAAAAATAATATTAAATATTAACCATCAACAATTTTATAACCTGATGTCGAATTTCTACGGTAATACTAAGAACAAAATACTGTTCAGATGATAACATGTTTCATGTCATGAGCTAATTATATATATTGGTAATATTTTTTTTATATATATAGGAACAGTATACATTACAACTTAAACGGCCCTCACACAACAAAACTATAACCCTAAAATAATCTACTCAAACTTAGCTAGATAGAAACACACAAATTTACACACACACACACAATCGGATCGACCGTCAACATACCTAATAACATAAAAGCAAAGAGAGGTCATTTCTTTTGGATCTGTGAGAGCTAGCTAGCTTCCAGCTCTCAACTATCAAATCATATTTTTATATTATGTGTAATATATAGTGAAATATACTATATTAAGCATAAAATTTTGAAATGATTCAACAGTTGAGAGCTAGTTGTAGTTCTTCAGTTTGCTTACCCATAAAGTTTATAAAGGTGGACAAACAAAACCAGGAGGAGGGGTCAAGCCACAAGTAGCCAGGACTTGAAGAGCAAGAGGGACGAAAATGTTGAGATTCAGAAGCTTAAGTCTGATCACAGTGCAAAGACATATGGCTGCTTCAAGCTCAAGCAATCCTTGGATCACTGGGCAGCATATATGTTCGATAGGGTTCCCTATTCCCACATGCACAAGTCCTGAAAGCACATCCAAACACAGCCCTAGCTTTAGGGCATCGATGGGACACCTCGCTTGAGGAGGACTAGGAACCCAGTACGGCGGAGGAGGTACAGTTGGTGGTGGGTTTATTATAACCGGCGGCGAAGGTGCAACTGGCGGTGGGTTTATTATAACAGGCGGCGAAGGTGCGACTGGTGGTGGCTTTATTATAACCGGCGGGTAAGGTGCGACTGGTGGTGGCTTTATTATAACTGGCGGGGATACCGGTGGCGGTGTGACTATGATCGGCGGGACGGTAACTGGCGGCGGCTTTGGAGGCGATTTCTTGTGCCCGCCGTGACGAGGTGGTTTCTGGCATTTGGGGTGACAATGCCAGTGGCAATAAGGATCATCACGACAAGCACATGTTAGTGGTGGAAGAGAACTCAAAGCTAAGATCATGAAGATGAACAAGAGGGCTGTGGTTGTTGAAGAAGACATTATGACTTCGGAGTTTGGATCCGAAAACTCTTGTAGGATTTTGTTGTCCTTGTTATAGTTGCAAGTGTTATATATATAAAAAGAAGAGAAAGATTAATTAGCCAAGACTGGTAATGCATTTAGGCATTATAAGAAAAACTTATTAGGGCTTTATATCTAATCTAGTAACACATAGCAACATAGTAAAACATCATTAAACTTGGTATGGATAACGATAGATAGACAGAGAGATAATTGAAAAGTTTGGATTTTTGTTGATGCTTGTGTGAATTCGAGAGACACTCGATCATCCGTGACTAGCTCAGTACAATCCGTGAAGGAGTTTCGATTAGTTCTGATGAAACCAGAATTACAGTTGTCACTGAGAAATGCAAGCCACTACTGTGTACATTATCTCTTTGTTTTCTTCTCTTTTATTACAATATTCGAATTCCTTTTGAGAAATTTAGGTCGGGTCTTCTTTTGCAACTACATTAAAATAAATCGACCTCGGTGTCAGAATTCTGAACTGTGTTTAGAGCACCGATCACAAGTAGTTATCATTAGGTTTGCAAAATTTGGAAACCCATAATGTTGCTTCAAAAGGTAAATTAGTTATAATTGCCACGTCGGCATGCGTTGTACATTGCCAGAATGAAGAAGTTCAGAGCCATTTCATGGTTTTGCCAAAGAGATGATTCATTGCAGCAACTTTGGGCACGTGGTGGTAGCTTCTCATGCAGATCTCTTGCGAATGACACGTAGTCTCATAGTGATATATCATTGTTGGATTATTGAACTGTCCATTTTACTCTTATTTAATTAAGGTAATATTGCTTATTATTGACTTATGGTGGGATAAATTTTGAATTTTTTTGGGGCCAAAGAATTGACTTTTTAATGCTTGTTTGGAATGGTGTTATAACTACTCAAAAGCATTTTTTTAATCATAATTTACAAAATATAAGATAATTATGTTAGAAAATTTTTGTCTCATCTTATATAAACATATTTATAAACATTCAATATAAGTAGCCCCAAACAAACCCTTAATTAGTAGAATAATGTATAAGTAGGTTTGGTACTTTAAATTTTTATTGAGTTTCATTTTTGTTCCTTCAATTTATAAAGTATATTTTTAATCATCAATCTTAATACACCATACTAATTTAATAAATTTAAATGATGAATTTGCAATTGAATGCTAACAAATCATACTTAAATTTTAAAATATAAAATGATTATATTAAAGAATTAAAATTTTGGAACATGATTTTGTTAGTATTTAATTAGAAATCAAGTCACCATTTAAATTTGTTGAATCAATATTTTTTTTGTTAAATTAGACTAATAATATTGAAATAAAAAAAATACTTTTTATAAACTTGAAGAACTAAATTAAACTCGAACTAACGTATATGTTAGCGTTTTTTTTTGGGCGAAATGTTAGCCTCTTTTTTAAGTTCTGAAAGGTGTTTCCAATGGTGAGGAGTACTAGAAATACTTTTCTAAGGTGATTATCTTATTTTTAGATATATTTATAAGTATACATTTTAATTTTAAATAATATATATGCCACTATAATATAATATATAAAAATGAAAGAATTAAAGACAGGTCTTGGATAGTAAAATGAATTGTTTTCTTAGTTTTTTTACAAAAAAAATTGGAAACAAAAATTTATCACTGGAGACAATGAGTCCTCAACTCCTCATATTTAGAATCAAATCAAAATCCTCAAATTTTCCCACCAAAAAAAATATGTGAATAAGCCAAGTGCTACATTTCTTTGCGAGCTCAGTTAATATTCCATCTGATAATCTGTTCTATATTCCTTGTTGTTAGAGAGGCAAAGACAGAACAAAGTTGGAAATAATGTAACTGAACAGCATTCACTACAAAAAAAATTGACTTTCAGTGACAAAAGTCGCCACTAAAAGTCAAAAAGTCACTGCTGAGATAGCCAAGTTGTTACCGTAACAACTGTCGTTGAAACTTATTAGCGGTGATAAAAAGAACCACCGCTGCAAGTATAGTTTTAGTGGTGACAAAAGTTACCGCTGAAAGCTATTATATTAAATATTGTTAAATAATAATATTATTAAATATTTATATTTAATTTTTATATTTGATTAAAATATTTATTTATAATATCCATTTTGTATAAAAAAATATAATTCATACATTATTATTTCTTTTATTTTTTATTTCTAATTATTTAAGCTATTATATTATTTATTTTAATATTTATATTTACAATTATGAAATATGAAAATAGTATATAAAAATAATAATAAAATTTAATTATAAATTTTATCATGATTATTTAACTCACACACATATAATTATAATATCTCACTTTCATACACACACTCATTCCTTTCTCCTTCCCTTTCTCTTACTCTCTCACACACACATCATATTATCTCCCTAACCCTCTCTTTCTCTCTCTCTAACATAACAACATGTAAAAATATTTTATTTTATCATAACAAATCATATTAATGAACAAAATTATTGTCTAAATATTATATTTTTTATAAAAAAAGTTAAAATAATAATAAAAAGTTAAAATAGACTTTTAGTGGTGACTTTTTGTCACTGCTAAAACTACTACCTTTTTAATTTTTTTTATAGAAAAATCATATTTAGAAATGTTACCGCTAAAATTACCTTTTAGCAGTGACATTTGTAAATATGATTTTTCTATAAAAAAATTAAAATAATAATAAAAAGTTAAAATAAATTTTTAGCGGTGACAAAAACTATCTTTTAGTTGCGATAAAAAATGCTACCGCTAAAAGGTGCTTTCAGTGGCGACATATTGAGTTGCTATTAAAAGTTTTTTTTATTGTCGCCACTAAAAGTCCCTTTCAATGGTAATATTAAGAGTCGCCGTTGAAAGTCTCATTTTTAAAAATTGACTTTCAATGATGACTCTAAAAAATGACTGTTGAAAGTATGACTTTCAGTCGCGATATTAAGAGTCGTCGCTGAAAGTCGTCACTGAAAGTCATTTTTTTAGTAGTGATTGTCAACAATTATTGAGATGAATTGTGAGCAAGCAAACAGTGTTATAAAAAGTCCTATATTCAAATAAGAAAGGGAAAAAGGTATGAAGAAGAAATTATATTACCGCAAACCTAGCTTCTCAGTCTGACTAAGAAGAAAAAAATACTAAAAAATGTCTATGATGTTTTACACTTTCAAATAAAAAACTATAAAAACGTGGTCCGATCGAGTACGCACGAAGATTGCAAGGCAGTCAACTTAAGAAAAGGACTAAACGCTGAGTCATGGAGCTGTAATAAATCTGCAGTTCAGAGTCGGCTAATCAATTGACTGATTGATTAATAATCATATAAAAGTTTATGGATTTTCCCTTAATTTCCCCTAATTACAACTTCATTAACAGAAAGCTCGTTGTTAATAAATTTTCCACCTTTTCGCTCCCCCCTTGCTTCCCATAATTTTGTCCATTTATTACCTACATGCTCTTTTGCCAAAAGTCTAGAACGTGTTGATTAATTCCACTTACTAGTATTAATACTAACTAACTATTTTATCCCTGCGCGAAATGCACATAAACGCAGAGCAATATCATAGAAAATTAAAAATTAAAAAATTTGGCTAATAAAAAAATATTGCTGAAAGATTTAGAGAAAGTACTAGTACTACGGCTCCTTATAAATTTTAATTTTAATAATATTAATAGTTGATAATTATTTTACTAGTAAAGAAACATTAAGCTGTTTGGAATAGCTTATAAGTAACTTTTCAATCATGATTTATCAAATACGAGGTAAGTATGTGAGAGGAGATACCTCAATTTACATAAAACATATTTATAAGTGTTTTTAATTGCTATCCCAAACAAGCCCAACTCCTTCCTTTCATTTTTATTAAGGCCATCGTCTGATGTCTTCTTTTTAATTTTACCAAGAAAATTTTGGGGACTGTTTAGTTCTGATTTTCGATTGAACAGAAAGAACGAAGACCGGACGATTCAACAGTGATATGTAATTAGAACTTTGGTCCTTTATCATTCAAAAAGCAGCTTCGTCGGTGTAATCATTAATACCTTTTCATAAAAATGATAGGAAAGAAAAATATTAATTCATATATACATATAGAGAGAGAGGGAGGGGGGGTCACAGGTCACTAGAACACAAAAGTATAGACTTTTTATTGATGCAATTTAATTGTCACCAAGAATTCCAGAGATTACATAATGGAAGAAAATAACCAGGAGGAAGGTGAGGAGCCTTCCAACCATATCAAGAATGAAAAACAAAACAAGATTACAAAAATACCATTAATAAACTATAGAACTTGACGATGTAATCCAAAAGAAAGGAAAAGAAAAATCACAGTACAGTAGAGTAGTGAAGATACTGATACAGATCTGCTGAATTAGGCGCATTGAAAGCCCTTGGGAACGCCTTTGCCGCAGTAGTTGAGAATCAAGCTCAGGTTAATGGGAAGGTTAAGGTTGATACCTAAGACATTGGCCTTAAGGGCGGTGCAGAGGCACACGGCGGCTTCGAGGTCGGCGAGGCCCTGAATGAGGGAACAGCAAGGGGTCTTCGGCGGCTTGCCGAGCTGAACGTTGATGAGACCCAACACGTCGGCGCAGACACCTAACTTAAGGGCGTCTGTAGGGCAACTTGGCTGCTTTCCTGATGGTGATGGCTTTGATGGGCTCTTTGGTGAGTGTTTAGGAGGGCTTTTGTGATGATGTGGCGGCGGCGGGCACGGCACGTAGGTGGAGGTTACCGCCGTGAAGAAGAGGAGGTTGATGACACAGAGGACAAGGGCAGACTTGGAAGCCATATTTCACAAGATCGATGTTCTTCAAGTTTCTATGACTTGGATTTTTGTGATACTTGGCTTTTGATTGGTGCGAGGTCCTGTGAGATATGATAGGCCTTTTATAGGAGCGGATCCCCTTTTTTTCTTGAAAAAACTTGGGACCCACTACTTCTTTATTTCATCCAGAGCTTAAGTGAGTTGGATTGGAAACTCATCATACTAAGTTTAATGTCCCCCCCCCCCACTTCATCTCTAATGCAATTCGTCTAACAATGTGATAATTGAATAAGTTTTGCACATGGATGTGGATTTTTTTTCATAATCAAATTCTTAGACTTGTTTTATTATAACATTTATATTCAAAATCTTATCGTAACAAGGATAGATCTTATAAAAGCACTTAGAAATACATTTTACCTACGCTTATCTGTGATTGAAGCCTTCACATATACAACCATATATTCCTTGTCAATCAAATTAACTTTATGAATGGATTCTGACTATTATAAGTAAAGCAAATACGTGTTAAAAATTTTGGAGAATTACTTTCAGTCTTAGATAAAAATTTAATTACTAAAAAGTTTTAATAATAAGTACGTAGTAAAAATTTATTATCATTTTTCTAATTAAAACTTATCATTACATGCCCATTAGGTGTTCAAAAATGGACATTTTATCTTATTTTTAAAATTACACTGGTTTGAACACTATTTAATTAAATGTAAATTTACAGCATTAAATATAAACGACATGTACATAATGAGCTCTCATTTTGACCTTAGATTATAAGTGAATAAATAACATGATGAAAAGATAATAATAGATCAATAAAATATATAGGAGAGGAGAGTAGCATAGTCTTCTTTCAATTGTAGGGATCAAATTGAATTTTGAAATAAAATTAAATAAATTGCGCATTTAATCATTTTATAACTAAATAATTGATAACTGGTTGATAAGACGAAGTTCTCGTGAGCGCCCATTGGATGAAAATTGAAATCGTCATAACAAGCTGGCACCGCATAATGTAGCGAATTGTAATTCTTTCACCTATTATGTGTTATTTTATGATTTTTGGTCAAAGGTTATTTTATCACTTTATCCTTAAAACTAATTGAAAAAAGAAAATAGAAAGGGTTTTATATTGGGTTGTGGTGTAAATTTGTTCAAGAAATTTACATTCAGGAGCAATGGGCACCCAAAAGTTTTTTTAATGCAAATTGGTTTCGAAAATTTAAAATCATAACAATATTGTTTCATATTGTTAAAAAACTAACATTGTCCGTTAAAATATAAGATTGATTATTAATATTTTTAATGTTAGGAGGTTAAATTGCTATTATTTTAAATTTTTGGGCAAATTTGCACTCAAAAAAAATTTGGAGTGTCTAATACTTTTGAATAAAAACTTTTATAGACAAATTTGCATGTTAATCCTTATATCTCTTTTTTTTACCAGCAGAAAGGATTGTATCAGATCAGGATCCTTTGAAGTTTTAATATATGAAGCTCATGAATTTCAATGCAAAGTATCTACCTTACGTTAACGTTTTGTTATGCTGACTCCGATGCTAAATATACATCATAATTATCTCCTTCATATACACTAAAAAAATTGGCCAAATATATGCATACTAAAAATTAGTTAAAATTAATTTTTGCTCCAAATTTATTTTTTCAAATTTGCCCTTTATAATTAGTGTTTCTCTATAATTATTTGTTATTAGTATTCAAAATATGCATTTAATGATAGGGTAAAGGTGCAACTTTACCTCTAGTCTTATTTTTCATGTGCACCCAGCATGTCGATCTTTTTCATGGTATAACTTTGACCATGATCCTTTTTATTTTGGTGCACTTAAAAAATAAGATTAGAAGTAAAATTGTACCTGTAATATCCTAAAATAAAAACGCACATTTACCCTAAATGCATAATATTTAGGGGTATTTGTTAAAAATAGGCATTTAATAATATATAAATTAAATAACTTATTTTGAATATCAGATCTTTCTAATTCTAAAGCATGACTTATATCTAGAGAGAGAGAGAGAGGATTACAGGTATTGCAGATGAAAAACCCAATTCACGTACTTAAAGTGTGTTTATTTTATGTTGAAATTCAATTTCAAATAAATTTTAGACACTAAAATAAACTTGAATAGATATATCAAATGACAACGCAAAGATGACTTGATTCCTATTGTCTGTCGTCATCGAAAGATTAATGGTTCATCTTACTCTGTTTATTTGTATTATATACTCAGCACGAACTCGATGCATCTAATATTAAGGAAAGTGAATTATATATTGGTGAAACTCACAAGGGCTGCCTAATTCGTAGTCAATGTTAAGAGGTTTTTAATTTATATATTTTATTTTCAATGATTTTGTTTTGTGAAAGATAATAAATATGGAGAAGAGTTTTATATCTCATAAAATATAAAAAATTATTTTTGAGGGTATTACCAAAACCCCACTAATTGCAATGAAGCCTCGTGGTACCAAATTAATTAATATGGAAATTGAATCTCCTATTTCTATAAACGCTTTTTGTAAGGGAGACAAAGGTCATGTGTTATTTCTTGTACATGTGTGTGTGAGACAGTACCCCATATGCATATGATTTGTCAATTCCAAAATAGGCTGATTAATAATTAACAATGGTTCAATCCAAGAATGTTACTTGCATATGTTGGCAGTTAATTGTGACGATTCGAATGGCAAAGATCATAGACTTGATCATTTTTGAGGTTTTGTACAAGATGTGTTGAAGTTACTTTTATATGTGTGTGGATTAATACTATTATTAATTCCTGAAACTTGACCTCATTTTTTTTAATTCTTAAAATTTGATCTTGTTTTGATTTGCATAAAGATTTTTAGTTCCTGAAACAGTGTTTTCAATCAGACATAAGGTTTTGGGAATCAAAATCATTGATGGTTTAAAATTTCAGAAATGAAAATCAAAATGAGATTCAAGTTTTCGACTAAAAATCTCGACATTAACTCAAAATATATATATATATATATATATATATTCTAATGAGTGGGCAAACTCACTCTATCTTATTTTTCTGTATATTCTAGTAATGATGGAGTTGGGTGCTTGTGAAGAAGATGCAGAGAGGTCACTGACATGCATGTGAAAGTTGAAATAGTGACGACACATGCATTATTGTCTGTTAGCCTGAAATACAGAATCCGGAAACATAAATCGAAGGTGCTTTCATTAACAAGTTTACTCAAATTAGGTATACGAGAGAGTTGTCCACCCAGTGTGCTGCACTGTAACTGGTGTCCAGAGGGATCACATGGAAATGTTCTTCCAGATTGGTGATGGTATATGATCAAATTATATGCTAACTCCAATACTTAATATAAGACACAGTCGACCTAAAAAAATTACTAAATTACTTAATTATAACATATGTTACATGATTTATTTAAAATATTTATATGTATTATTAGATTATATATTAATTTATAAATGCACAGTGGCAAATAAAGTTAGAGAAAAACAATAAATAAAAATATTTTAAAGTAATTTAGTAACTTTATTAATCTTCTTAAATTAGTCAACTACTATTTCAGTCCTAAATATAAGAGATATTTAGGACCGGAGGAATATGTTTTATATTAAAAAACTGAAGGTAGTGTGTGTGTGTGTGTATTGCACTTCAACTCTCAAAAAAAGTTAGGTTGAAGCTCAATATAGGTTAATGATCCCATAAGCTAGTCTTGTATCAATCACCATGTTGTTAAAAAATTAATGAATAATCTTAAAGTTTTTCAATGCTACATACAGATCAGATTTGCTTACAGGGGTCAAAAGTAGAAGGATCAATCGATATATTCCTCCGGTCCTTAATACAAAGCATATTTAACTAATTTAATTCAATTAATAAAGTTAGCCAAGTTAGTTAATTATAAAAACTATGACATATTTTTTCTAAAACACTATAATCATCTTCTTTAATATCATCCCTCCTTCTCCTACTTAATTATGGTTGAGGAAATATCAATAGGAGTAATTTAAGAAAAATTGATAAATATGAAAAATAAGTCTTATATTTAGAACTGGGATCAACTAAATAATTAGGTCCTACATTAAGGACTAGGGGAATAGTTTATAAGTTAAATATATGGTTATATCAGGATGGATCTGAACACCGGCATACATGGTTACATAAATAAACACATGAGGATAATATATATAGGACCTTGGGTCTTGAAGTTTCTTATTTTTATCTTTGGTAAACAATATTCCAAGTTTTGTTTCCCTATATTAAAAATTTAGATGAGTTGAGTTTTGAGAATTCACCAAAACCAAAACATAAAACTCAAAAAATATTTATAAAGATATTAGCAAATCACTTGAAAATAAAGTCTTCAAATCAGTTGTGAAATTTAACTCATCTCCTTGTGGGATATTAGTCATTATTGTTAACTCAACCAACCCTCATTAGTTCCATGAAGCTCTTTTTCCCCTTATATAATTGCATGATATTTAATACTAATTTGAGTTTTGTTGGATCTAATTTGGAAAAGAAAAATTGAAGAGAAAAGAAAGATAATTCATATTTAATCTACACTATGCATTTTTTTTGGCTAAAAAACCATGCATATATTGAGAAGTAGTAAAATAGGAGTAAATTATGAAGCATGTTTTCTACCTACTTTGATTTAGTTGCCAGCTTTCTACATCAAATCATTCACATCTATAGTTTGAAGCCATTAATCGTTCATTTAATTCAACTCTAAATGTCCAAAAAGACTGCGAATGAATCATGGGATCTCGTGGAATAACTAATGGACAAAATGGCACACAATTTAGCTTTTATAATAATTGCAACCAGTCGGCAAAGAAGCACTAATAAGAAGTCAACACAACCTTCCTTCTATATTTCCATATTCTTGTGATTTAACGTTCCTTATATAAACATCGCATTGTGAATGACTTAAGATCATATATCTTTATAAAGAATAAAATCCGCCATTATTATCGTCGAAATCTCTACAGAGAACGACAACTCTAATGAAATTCTTCGTGTAATCCAACAAGTCACATTCTT